TAAACTATTTTTTAGCTTCTTTCCAAAGATCAGTAATTCTACAAGGCTATGCCAGCCATTTGAGTCCCAACTCTCCTGTAGACATAAGCGCCCATCCTCTCCCACCCCACCACTCAGAGTAATTGCACACGTAGGCCCTACCCTATGTCACTTTGGTCGCTTGTCAGCCTGCCTGGTCCCTGAAGACACGTTGAGTTTCAGGTCCCAACTGTATCTTCCTCTTTTCAGAGGATACTGAGCCTTGTTTTGTATCTGAGGGTGACTGAGGTTTCCGCTAGCTGTTGCTGTATAACATGCTACCCCAAATTTGCTGCTATTTCTTTAGCAGTAACCTAGGTCCGTTTCAGCTGGACACCCCTGTCCATCTGTGGCTGCCTGTGGGTCAGTGTGGATGACTTGTGCTCCCCATGCCCTTATGGAAAGGCCACTCCTTACACATAGAAGCCCACTGGGTGTTCACCCTCACCTGGCTCGCCTCCCTCAGGCCCAAGGCCTGCCAGTCCTCTCCTTCCCTAGTCCTCTTCCTCCTGAAATGGCTATGTGGACATGCATCTGATGTGACCCCTTGTGGCATTTCAGGAGCCGGTGACCTTTCGGGACATAGCGGTGGACTTCACTCAGGAGGAGTGGGGGCAGCTGGACCCTGCCCAGAGGACCCTCTACCGGGATGTGATGCTGGAGACCTTTGGGCACCTGGTTGATGTAGGTAAGGCTGGAATCGACATGGGTTGTAAGTTGTGGGAGCTCTGGGCTTGATCTGGCCCGGTCTGGGGATCAGGGCTTCCGCATTCTCCTTCCTTATGGTCAGTCGTATTCTGGAGAATCCACCCTGTTCTGTCTTGACGCACCCTTGGCCTTGTGGCATTGCCACCCCCACAGACACCCCATTTCCTGATGGTCAGGAGTCTGGGCTGGCTGTCTCTCCAGAGCAGACCCTCATGACCTGTGCTTCCCCCCACCCCACCTCCTCTTCCAGGGCCTGGTCTTCCCAAACCAGAAGTCATCTCTCAGCTGGAGCAAGGGACCGAGCTTTGGGTGGCAGAGAGAGGACTTGCCGAAGCCCATTCTCCAGGTGAGACCCCATCAGGTGGGAGACACCCAGGAAGGGACTGGAGACACTGCCTGAGAAGAGGTGACATGTCAGGTCCCCAAGACCACGGGACTCACAGGGTAGACAGAGCACATCGTCACAGGCACAGCTAGGATATATTATAGCCGGACACAAAGCAGAACCTGTGGGGGGGACAGGTGTACGGGACACGTTCAGGGAAGGCAGGTGAGCTTTTGTGAGCCCTCTGCATAGTAGAGGGGCACGGGACATCCTTTACTCCCTTGGCAGCACATGGAGAGTACCATCCTCTGGTGAAGCTCACCTGAGACTCCACACTTGGGGAGGGAGCGTGTCCTCCCAGGGGCTGGTCTCGTTGGTACTCTTTGCTGGTGAATGCCAAATTCCCAGCTCCCTCAGGCGAAGCACGTGCTTGGCATCAACCATGCTGTCAGTTCTGGGAATGGTGGAGCCTCCTGAAATTGGAGGTCCCAGGTCCCAGGCCACAGCCAGCCTGGCAATTGGCCTTTCCAAGGATGAGAGTGTCCAGCCACCATGTGACTGCAGAGCCCTGTCTCAGGAGTGCTCCCCCACACCTCACCCCCTCCTCCCTCTGAGGGTTCATCCCCTGTGGTTGTCCTCGCCCTTCTCTTCCTCCTCCTGCTCCACTCCATCTTTCACTTCAGGGCGTTCCCTGTCTCACTCTCCCTTCAGCATGCCCAGGGGGTCATCTGCTGTCTTTGATGTAAACTGAACGCACGGTTTCTAAAACACATGCTTCACACTTTTTTCCTTACCTACAAGCATTATGTGTCTGGCTGCAGATGCCAGGAAATTGGGTTGGAGCACCTCAGAGAAGAAGGAGGGCCCTCTCACAAATGAAGAAACCCTTCCAGCACTGGCTCAGTGATGCCAGCTGGGACTGGTGGCTCTGGTTCTGCCCTCCTTCCGGGAGTCCTATCTGTACTCCAGACAAGAGGGAGAGAGACAGGAAGACTAGTACCCAGTCTCCTTGTTCAGGGCTGGATTGCGTATGAGGGGGCTTCAAAAAGTTATGGGAAAATTCCATTCTCTTTTAAGCTCATTGTACACCCCCACCCCTGGGCACAGTTGCTAGGAAATGGGGAGGGATCTAGATTGCCATCACTGGCTTGGTTCAGTAGTGATCCCTCGTCTGAGCTTGGGGCTTTGGTACCCTGACCACATTCTGAAAGAAGAGAGATGGGGCGTGGTGCTCAGCAGCACCCACAGCTGCCCTTCCACCCAATGCCTCTGATACCACACGAGGCCTTTCTGGTCTCTTTAAAGTTGTCAAAAACATTAGCCGCTTGAGGATCATACAAAGCTGAGCATAGCGTCTATGTTAGTTTGGGTTGACTAGAGAAACAAAATTCATAGACAGTCATATGTATAAGAAAGCTTTATATCAAAGAGTAATTGTATATTAAGAAAACATCCTAGCCCAGTCCAAATCAAAACCATAAGTCTGATATTAGCCCATATGTCCGATAGCAATCTATAAATTCCTCGTCAGATTCACCCAACACACGCGATGACGCCAAATGCACGAAGACCACAGTCTCGTGGGTGGAAAGTCTTGTGGATCCAGTGGCAGTGAAAGCATCTCAGTGCTGGCAGGGGGCTCCACGTGGCTCCTTGAGACTTGTCACCAGGAAGAAAAGCAGAGAGTGTCTGTGTGTATCTGGCCTCCAGTGAACTATTTATGTCCATGGCGCCTCCAAATGAGGTCATCAAACTGCTGCTATCTGATTGACAGGCTAGACTCCACCCCTTCACAAGTTGACATGTTACGTAACTACCACAGTTTCCCAGTACCTGGCCCACAGCAAGTGCTCAGTAAATCTTTGTTGAATGAGTGAAGTGATGTTTTAAGCAGGATCATCTGGTGCCCATGTAAGAGCGGGCTGAGGTGTTATGGTCCTGGTCGGCCCCATGTTCTTGTTTGTTTGTTGTTTGTTTGTGTGTTTGTTTTCCTCCTCAACTTTTCAGAGCTCTCTGGTTTCCTTCCAGTCTGGAGGACGAGAACTGAAGGCCAAGGACCACGCACAGATCAAGGCCTTCCAGAGGATAAGCTACCCCATGTCCCCATAAAGAAAGGATTGCCAAGGGGTGCCCTCTGGCCCAGCACACTGGGGGAGAAACGGGCTGGTGACAGCCAGGCCCAGGGGCTGAAGAAGGACCAGGACAACCTCAAAGAAGTTCCGAGTCAAGACAGAGGCAGTGAAAGTCTCAGACTTGGGGAAAACTGTGTCCTGAGTTCTAGCCTAAATCCATTCCAGGAGATTCCTCAGGGTAAATCTCTTAGTACTCACGACACACCGGTTACAAACCTAGAGCATAATTCAAGTTTAATGAATGAGCAGACTGACTCCTCTGGGAAACAGCCCTTTGAAAACAATGACTTCAGTAAAGCCTTTAGTCAGGGTGTTGAAGTTATGCAACTTGGAAAAATTCAGAGTCAGGATAAACCCTACAAGTGCACTGACTGTGGTAAGTCTTTTAACCACAATGCACACCTCACAGTCCACAAGAGGATCCATACAGGAGAGAGACCCTATATGTGCAAGGAGTGTGGGAAAGCCTTTAGCCAGAACTCCTCTCTCGTTCAGCATGAGCGAATCCACACAGGGGACAAGCCCTATAAGTGTGCCGAGTGTGGGAAATCTTTCTGCCACAGCACCCACCTCACTGTGCACCGGAGGATTCACACGGGAGAGAAGCCCTACGAGTGCCAGTACTGTGGGCGGGCCTTCAACCAGAACTCGTCCCTCGGCCGGCACAAGAGAACACACACTGGGGAGAAGCCCTATGCTTGCAGTGTATGTGGGAAAGCCTTTTCAAGGACCACCTGCCTCTTCCTGCATCTGAGAACTCATACAGAGGAGAGGCCCTATGAGTGCAACCACTGTGGGAAAGGCTTCCGGCACAGTTCCTCCCTGGCCCAGCACCAGAGGAAGCACGTGGGGGAGAAGCCATATGAATGCCGGCAGCGGCTGATCTTTGAGCAGACTGCTGCTCTGGTGAAGCAGGAATGGTCAGAAGACTGCAGCCCACCCCTGAGTCAAGATACACGGGATGATAGGCCTTTTAAATGTAGTCAGTGTGGGAAATGTTTCATTCAGAGTTCACACCTCATCCGGCATCAGATAACTCACAACAGAGAAGAGCCCAGAGGACGGAACCGGCGGGGGGCTGCCAGTAGCCGGGAGTCCACCAGCAGCCGGAGCTCACACCTGACCCGACACCAGTACCCACGTTCAGGAGAGAGCCAAGGGGCTGGGACAGAGGCAGGCCAGTCTGCCAGCAGGGCCCTTGCCTTATTTGACATCCATGAGATTGTGCAAGAGAAAAACCCTGTGCACGTTATTGGAGTGGAAGAGCCAGCTGTGGGTGCCTCTGTGCTCTTTGACATCAGAGAGTCCGCGGAGGTAGGCCAGACCCTCCAGATGAGTCCTGAAGCAAGCACAGACAGGTGGTAAGTTCCCAGGACAACATCCATGAGAAGAGGAACCAGGGGGCGGGGAGGAGAGAAAGTAGTAGCAGTGGCCTTCCATTTCCTGAATAAGTAATGTCTCCCAGATACTCAAGGTCCCAAACCCCCAAGCAAGCCCATCGCCATTCTGTCACAAGCGGACTCCTGGCACCCCTTGGGTTTCCAAGGCTATGGTCTGTATGGAAGCAGATCACCAACCCTGCTCTTTTGCAGTCTGTTGGGCAGCAGGTTTGATCTGCCAACCTTTAGCCCAGGCGAAACCATTTGCACCACCCATGGACCTTTATCAAACTCAACTCCCCTTTTAATAGGTATTTTGTAACATTCCCTTGACTATCCCAAAATGAGCTCACAGGTTAACATAACCGGTGCACATGCATAATGTCAAGAAAAAAAATCTGTTGTTGACTCTATTTTGTACAGGAGCATTAAACTGAAAATAATTTATAATAGAGTAATGTATACTGAGTTGGTGTGGAATCTCGACACATAAATGTGTGGGCCCAATTACATCCAAAATCTGAGGTTTCAGCACTGATAACAGTGTGATGTTGGCCACCAAAATAGCATGAGGGCCCTTCATGTACAGGGTCTGACTTTCCCAAATGATGACAACGTTTTAAACAAAAATGCTGTTGCCTTTCTGAAAAATTCCATGTAAATCTAAGTGTGCAGGAATTCGTTTGTGTGTCTGCAGTTGTGTTAGGTTCTCAGCTCAGTTCACCTTTACACACAGGTTTTGTCCATGTGGC